TAGGTAGAAGAGATCAAAAAGTTTAAACAAAGCAGTTAACCTACTGAGGGATGTAAATGTTATAAAAGCTAGCCCAGGTAATGGGATAAGAATCCATAGTCTCTTTTGAGACTGAACTTAATACAATCCAGTCTGTGGATGATTCCTTCTTCTACAATTTTGTGTTCAAGTCAGGTTTTAAATTCCTGTTGTGTAAGAAAAGCTACTCTAAGGTCAGTGATGGAATGTCTAGGGAGTTTAAAGTATTCTGCCACAGGCTTTTCTGTCTTTCTGTAAATGGTATCAGATCAGTGTCCATTCATTCTTTCACATAGGGATTATCCCATGTGTCCCATGTAGACAGTCATTGTTGGTAGTGTCTTGATTTGAGGATGATCTCTACCATGGTTCATTGATGGGTCTTGAGGTGACTTGAGACTAATCCTTAAGCTGCAGATCCATCTGCATAAATTACAGGTCTTTCTGCAAGAGAGCCAGCTGCAGGGTGGGATTCCTCTTCTTTTCTTTCCTCTGCTCTCTCCTTTGCTTCAAGGACAAGATATTTTACCTTGAAACAAGCTGCCACTTGGTTGAGACTGCAGCTGTGGCACTGTTGGGGTTAGTTGGCTGCCAGCTTCTCCTGACTTTTCATGTCAGCATCCATTTTCTTGAGGTATGTCTTCAAAATGTCTGCATTGCATTTCCTCTGGTCACCATGAGCTGTCAGGCCATTACTAAGCTGGAAGTAGAGCACTTGTTTTGACAATTGAGTCAGGCATCTACACATAATGTCTGGTGGAGTGAAGTTGGTGCTTGAAGATCACTGACTCAGTGATGGTAACTCGGGCTTTAGCAGGGATGCTGGTGTTGGTATGGTGATCTTCCCCTTTATATGGAGGATTTTTTTAAGGTATCATTGGTGATACCTCTCCAAACTCTTGAGATGATGATGGTAGGTCACCCTCACTTCATATCCATGGAGGAGGGCGGGGATGATGACTGTAGACCCGGATCTTGGAGATCACGATGAATAAAGACGTGCCAAACAATTGTCTAAAGGAGGCACTCGCACACCGAATGCTATACTGGATCTCTTTATCAATGGACACTCTGTGAGAGAGGTGACTACTGAGGTAGGAAGAGTGCTCAACTACCTCTAGGGTCTTTCCCTCGATGGTAATTTGGGGAGGGGGGTTGCATTCATGGCCTGGGACAGGCTGATAGAATACTTTAGTCTTCTTTATGTTGAGAGAGAGGCCCAAAATTCAGTAGGCTTCTCTGAAGATATCCAGTACCACCTGGAGGTTTTCCTCACTATGCAAGGATGATACAATCCTTGGTGAAGGTCAAGGATGGTTGTTCTGAATATTTTGGCCTTTTAGAGAAAATGTCCCAGGTGGAAAAGCTCTCCATCCCTTTGGTACTCAGTGTCAATTCCAGAAGGAAGGCGGTCCTTAATGAAAACCAAGATAATTGTCAAAAAATGGAGAACAGGGTTGGGGTGATGACTCATCCTTGCTTGACATCAGTTCGGATGACACATTGATCTGTCTCCAATCTGCTATGAAGAATGGTCACATTTGTCTGATCATGGAGAAGCCTCAGGAACTTGATGTACTTTTCAGAACATTCAGATCTGGCCAGTACTTTTCACAAGGCTTTACAATTGATGGAATCAAAGACCTTAGTAAGGTCAATGAAGGCCATATACAGGTCCTGATGGTTGTTTCAGATACATTTCTTGGATCTGGTGAGCAACAAAGATCATGCCAATTGCCCCATGGGATGGTCTGAAAATACATTGAGATTCCAGCAGGACTTCCTCAGCAAAAGGTAGAATATGTTTCAGAAGGATGCAGGAGAGGATTTTCCTAGCTGTGGAAAGGAGTGTGATACCTCAACAGTTTCCACACAGACTTATCTCCGTTCTTGAAGAAAGTCATGATGTTGGCATTCCTTAGGTCAATAAGAATCTTTTCATTGTTTCAAATTTGGGGAATAAATTTGTGGCCTCTCCGAACCAGTTCTTTGCCACCAGACTTACAGATTTCAGCAGGTATGCCATCTGGTCCAGTAAACTTGTTGTTCTTGGTTTCCTTGATGGCACACCACACTCCTTCTAGGATAGGAGGGTTGGTGAGGGATCCCCTTTCAGGGTTTTGGGGGATGGACTTAATGGTGGTATCCATTATGGTCAACTCACAGTTCAGGAACGCCTCAAAGAGCTCTTTCTGTCTAGCTTAGATAGATTTGTCATCTTTGAGGAGCATCGAGCCATCCTGCAATCACAGAAAAGTAGGACTGTGGGAAGTTGGGCCATAGATGGCTTTCATTGCCTGGCAAAAGCTATGTATGTCTTGGTTGTCAGCATAGAACTGGATCTCCTCGGCTTTATCTTGCCACTACTGATTTTTGATTTTCCGGACACTACTTTGAGCTTCAGCTTTGAGGAGCTGATGCATCTCCTTCTTCTGCTTAGATAAGGTGTCATCTTGCCAAGCAGAATGAGCCTTTCTTTTCCAGTTAAGAAAGGCGTTGATCTCTGTGTCATTCTCATCAAAGCAGTCTTGGTGTTGACAGATGGTATAGCCAATGGTTTCAGCACAGGCCATATGGATGGTGGTCTTAAACCCCTTCCAGAGTTCTTCAATATTACCTTCATTTGCAGACAGGGCAGAGAGCTTTTCATGGAGACTCTGTTGGAGATCCTTACAGACCTTTTGATGTTGACAGTCCTTCACACTGCTTTTAGCTGTTTTCAGTGTTTTGGAACAAACCAAATGTTCATAATAGATCTGATAAGACAATGTTCCATCCAGCAGTCATCCATTCCCTTCATGGGTTGTGTGATATAGACATCCATTCAATCACGAGCTCTAACAGTAACATAGTCAAGGAGGTGCCAGTGCTTAAAGCGAAAGTGTCTCCAGGTGATTTTGTTTTTGTCATTCTGTCTGAAGATGGTGTTCATGATGACAATACCATGCTCTGTGCATTGGCTCAGGAGAAAGATACTGTTGGAGTTGGCTTTCACTATTCCTTCCTTCCCAGTGATGCCACTTGAGAGTTCCAGGTCCTGTCTGACTGATGTTGAAATAAAAGGAATATTATAAGCAAGTGATAGATATATGACATTGATAGAGGATAATTTGTGCTGTTTGGTCCAGAGTTGATGTGGTCTTTGAGAGTAGGAGGGCACAGCTGGCATCAGGATCCATTACAAGGTCTGGTAGTTTGGTGAGAATAGGTAGTGTGTTGCTGAAGAGATGTCATTGGGGGGTCTGCTGTAAGCCAGGACAGGCTTATCCCAAAGACTTCCTTGAGATGGCCCTGATTTCTTTAGGAAGTGTTGCAGGTCATTACTGACGTGTCCACAGTGTGCAAGATGAGGGTTGTAGGTCAGAGCAGGGTCCAAGTCTGGCTGTTCTTATCTGAGCTGTGGTTTTGGAATTGTATTGTAAGTGCAGGGATGCTTGCTCCATGCACCTAAGGTGTGTATCCTGATTGATGGGATCAGAGCAGACATGGTTGTAATGCAGAGCTTGACTTTAGATGGTGATGTGCTTACGATAAAAGCTGGTGGTCTGAAGATAGCTGTGGCAGTTGAGTGGTTTCTGATAAAATATGGTGAAGTGACCATTGCAAAATTTCACAGTGGTGTCCAAGAAATATATAGCTTGTGTGGAATATTCAAAAGTTCCTCTACACTTTGGCTGCTATAATGTGTTAATCATGACATAAATAGCAAGGAATACCCAGGCACCCAATTTAAGGTGTCATAAAATGGCAAACCAGCCATAAAAATTCTAGGTATAATGTAGAACATTTTTTTGGATAGTGTGTATATCATGTTAAATTGAACATGTGGCATGTCTACATGTAGGCTCTCCAGGTCTGATGTCCAACAATTAGCTGGTTGTTGGCATCAGCCTTGAACAGCTTCAGTTTCCAACCTGTGTGTCAATAATAGGTACCAACCCCCAGGGCAGTCAGGTTCTCCAGCTGGGCCTGGGACTGCTCTGTGGGGACAGGCGGGGGAGAGGGAGGGGAATGGGAAGCTGAAACTCCTGGTAGGTGGAGCCAAAGGGCCAGAGCTGCTGGGTGTAAGGTTTAAAGTCCCAGTTAGGGAAGCCCTTTCGCTTTTACCACCAGGGCTTAGAATCATTTGGTTGTTGGCCCCAGCCCAGATAGCCCTTTGTCTTGAACCAGATTTGGGACTGCCCAAGCCAGGGCCAAAATCAGCTGTTAGTTGACCTGGACAGTCCTGGTGAACCTAATCTGCTACTGTCAGGGGTTGGGGCTGATAGTCGGCTGATTGTTGGCCCCAGCCCCAGGACAGTCCTGGGTCATGTTGAGATGTGGGCATCCAACTTTCAACTTGCTGGTACAGGGGATCATGATCCCTAGATCCCCCTGCACTAGCAAATAGAATGGGCAAGATTGCAGTCTGATCCCTGATTCTACAGTCTCACCATTCTACGATCCATGCGTGTGTGGCATAGCAGGAGGTGCAGTTGTTGGGACTGTGGATCAGATCCCATGGCGCTTTTAACCTGAATATGTGCCAGAGGTCCAGGAGTTAGTTTGATCAAGTTAAGAAGAATGGGCCATAAGTAGTTTTACAAATAGCAACAAATAATGTAAACATGCTGTTTAAAATAAAGCTTTCCTCACTGTTTATTTCTTCTAATCCAGCTTTTTATTTAAAAAGAAAAGCAGCACAAGTGATAGTTTGTTGAATTGGGAGTAACATTTCCATTTACATTTTGTAGTTAAATTCTCTTTAAACATAACGTTAAAAATTGTTTGCCCAAACTATATTTCAAATTGTTTGCCCAAACTATATTTCAAAAACAAAGATTCCAATTGTGTGTACCAGCAGCAGGCTATTTTAACTAATGCAATTAATTGGCAAAAACTTTCCAAGTAAAATATGTTGTCTCAAATGCAAGAACCCCTGTATTATCCCTATCTAACATTTTTAAGTTGTACTACTTAACATATGACTTTCTGTTTTTTAGTATGGGATGCAGCTATATCAGAATTACATGCGCCCGTATCAAGGCAGAAGTAGCTTCAATTCTCTGAATATATCTCCTACGGTATGTACTGAAAGAACTCACTGAGTTAATTTACTTTAATACAGTGGTGGAAGCGTCTGTTCCAAGGACCTGATCCTGAAAACATAACATTTTGCCCATGCTTAATTTAAAAGCATATGGGTGCTTGTTGTCTTTATGAACTGTAGTCAGGTTCCTCCCCTTACATTGCAGCCAGAAGTGGACAGTTATTTTTGGTTCCGTCTCCAGCCTTGCCTTCCCTTCTGTTTTGGTATCAAGTTGAGCATTGTTTTCAGTAGAGAAGCTAGCCTTAAAGCTTAATCAATACCAGTATTAAGTAATGTACCATTTATACAAAATTATGACATTGGTAAAACCAGTGCATCAGACGGTCCTGAATAAAGACAAAAATAAATATTCAAATGAGACTGAATATGCAAACCATTTTTAGTATATGATGCAGAGTCCTGAATAATTCACAATGATATGAACCACATATATCCTGCCTTTCCTATAGCTGCACATCTTACTTTGTTCTTGTTTGAAAAATTATTAGCAGGCTTTAATTCATTGACTAGATTCTTGGCTCAGAATATCACCCCAGGATCAGAAATCAATTAGTAACAATTTATCTAGTAATTACTGTGAACGTATGTGTCACAGACCCATCTGTGAGATTACCCAGAGCCTCGAGTTTCTTCCTGCTGTCCTGCTGCTTGTACCAAGGAACAGACCAAGGTTTGCCCTGATATAATTCCTCATCTTCACAAGCCTTAGCTCCACTGCCCTTATATCTGACCTCAGGGCTGCAGCAGGGGAATCTCTGCAGCTCTAGGTGGATTCTCCTTGTGGTGTGAAAGAAATTTTGGGTCTCCCTTTTTGTAGAATGAGTTAGCCTGGATTATCACTTGCCCAGAGAGCACTCTTTACTATAGTAAAGAGTCAAAACAACAAAAGGATTTATTATGTAGAAGAAAAGGATTCTGTAAGAAGAACTTAGCACAAGCTTGCAAACGGAACTAAAAAACCAGGAAAGTTTTGTACCCTCTCATCAGACTATCATCTAATCCTCCA